CGTGAGTGATGTTGTGTGGTAGTGCCTCACTGTGAGAGTGTGATGTGTGGTAGTGCCTCACTGTGAGGAAGTGATGTTGTGTGTGGTAGTGCCTCACTGTGAGAGTGATGTTGTGTGGTAGTGCCTCACTGTGAGAGTGATGTTGTTGTGTGGTAGTGCCTCACTGTGAGAGTGATGTTGTGTGGTAGTGCCTCACTGTGAGAGCGGATGATGTTGTGTGGTAGTGCCTCACTGTGAGAGTGATGTTGTGTGGTAGTGCCTCACTGTGAGAGTGATGTTGTGTGGTAGTGCCTCACTGTGAGGAGATGATGTGTGTGGTAGTGCCTCACTGTGAGAGAAGATGATGTGTGGTAGTGCCTCACTGTGAGAGTGATGCTGTGTGGTAGTGCCTCACTGTGAGAGTGATGTTGTGTGGTAGTGCCTCACTGTGAGAGTGATGCTGTGTGTGTAGTGCCTCACTGTGAGAGTGATGCTGTGTGGTAGTGCCTCACTGTGAGAGTGATGTTGTGTGGTAGTGCCTCACTGTGAGAGTGATGTTGTGTGGTAGTGCCTCACTGTGAGAGTGATGCTGTGTGTGTAGTGCCTCACTGTGAGAGTGATGTGTGTGGTAGTGCCTCACTGTGAGAGTGATGTTGTGTGGTAGTGCCTCACTGTGAGGCCAGATGTTGTGTGGTAGTGCCTCACTGTGAAATGATGTTGTGTGGTAGTGCCTCACTGTGAGTGATGTTGTGTGGTAGTGCCTCACTGTGAGTGAGAGTGACTGTGTGAATGTAGTGCCTCACTGTGAGAGTGATGTGTGGTAGTGCCTCACTGTGGAAGTGATGCTTGTATGGTGATGCCTCACTGTAAAGAGTGATGTTGTGGTAGTGCCTCACTGAAAGAGGAATGATGCTGTGTGAGTGCCTCACTGTGAGAGTGATGTGTGTGTGGTAGCAGTGCCTCACTGTGAGAGAGTGATGCTGTGTGGTAGTGCCTCACTGTAGAGTGATGTTGTGGTAGTGCCCTCACTGTGAGAGTGATGTGTGGTGAGTGCCACCACTGCTGAGAATGATGCTGTAATGGTGAGTGCCTCACTGTGAGGGAGTGATGCTGTGTGGTAGTGCCTCCACTGTGAGTGATGTTGTGGTGGTAGTGCCTCACTGTGAGAATGATGCTGTGTGGTAGTGCCTCACTGTGAGAGTGATGTTGTGTGGTAGTGCCTCACTACGTTAGAGATATTGTGTGGTAGTGCCTCACTGTGAGAGTGGTGTCTTGTGGTAGTGCCTCACCATTGAGAGTGATGTGTGGTGAGTGCCTCACTGTGAGAGTGATGTTAGTAGTGAGTGAGTGCCACCACTTGAGTGAGTCATGTGGTGTGGTGAGGTGCCTCACTCTGTAGAGAGTGATGTGTGAAGTGTGGTGCCTCACTGTGTGAAATTGATGTTGTATGGCGAGTGCCTCCTGTGAGAGTGATGTTGTGTGGTAGTGCCCTCACTGTAGAGAGTGATGTTGTGTGGTAGTGCCTGAAACTGTTGTAGAAAAGCCCATACTGTGAGTGCCTCACTGTGGTAGTGCCCCACCAGTGATGCTGTGTGGTAGTAGTGCCTCACTGTGAGAGTGATGCTGTGTGGTAGTGCCTCACTGTGAGAATGATGTTGTGTGGTAGTGCCTCACTGTGAGAGTGATGTGTGGTAGTGCCTCACTGTGAGAGTCATGCTGTGTGGTAGTGCCTCACAGTGAGAGTGGATGTTATTGTGGGGAAGTGCCTCACTGTGAGAGTGATGCTGTAGTAGTAGTGCCTCACTGTGAGAGTGATAATGTGGTAGTGCCTCACTATGAGAGTGATGGTTGTGGAGAGTGGTAGTGCCTCACTGTGGAGAGTGGATAAAGTGATGTTGTGTTATGAGTGCCACCAGAGTAAGACCAGTGATGTTGTGTGGTGAGTGCCTCACTGTAGCCTCACCAGTGATGTTATTAAGAGTAAAGCCCTCACTGTAAAGTGATGGATTGTATGTGAGGAGTGCCTCCTGTAGGAAGTGATGTTGTGTGCCGTAGTGCCCTCACTGTGTTGTGCGGCAGCGCCCCAGTGAGAGTACAAGTAGTAGTGCCTCACTGTAGCGGATGGAAGCCCCACCGTGGTGATGTTGTGTGTGGTAGTGCCTCACTGTGAGATGATGCTGTGTGGTAGTGCCTCACTGTGAGAGTGATGTTGTGTGGTAGTGCCTCACTGTGAGAGTGATGTTGTGTGGTAGTGCCTCACTGTGAGAGTGATGTTGTGTGGTAGTGCCTCACTGTGAGAAGTGATGTTGTGGTGAGTGCCTCACTGTAGCGAGAGTGATGTTGTGTGGTAGTGCCTCACTGTGAGGAAGTGATGCTGTGTGAGTAGTGCCTCACTGTGAGAGGTGTGTGTGGTAGTGCCTGCCTTGTGTGAGAATGATGCTGTGTGGTGGTGCCTCACTGTGAGTGAGTGATGTTGTGTGGTAGTGCCTCACTGTGAGAGTGTTGTGTGGTGAGTGCCTCACTGTGAGAGTGGTGTTATTGTGGTAGTGCCTCACTGTGAGGAGTGATGCTGTGTGGTAGTGCCTCACTGTGAGAGTGATGTTGCTTGTGGTAGTGCCTCACTGTGTGAGAGTCCATGTGGTGTGGTAGTGCCTCACTTTCGGATGAGGTGATGTTGTGTGGTAGTGCCCCACTGTGAGAGTGATGTTACGGCAGCGTGCCTCACTGTGAGAGTGATGTTGTGTGGTAGCGCCTCACTGTGAGAGTGATGTGTGTGGCAGTGCCTCACCTGTGAGAGTGATGTGTGTGGTAGTGCCCTCACTGTGAGAGTGATGCTGTGTGGTAGTGCCTCACCGTGAGAGTGATGCTGTGTGGTAGTGCCTCACCGTGAGTGATGTTGTGTGGTAGTGCCTCACTGTGAGAGTGATGTTGTGTGGTGGAAGTGCCTCACCGTGAGAGTGGAGTTGTGTGGTAGTGCCTCACCGTGAGAGTGATGCTGTGTGGTAGGTGCCTCACTGTGAGGAGTGATGTTGTGGTAGTGCCCTCACTGTGAGAGTGATGTTGTGTGGTAGTGCCTCACCGTGAGAGTGATGATGTGTGGTAGTGCCCCACTGTGAGTGATGTTGTGTGGTAGTGCCTCACTGTGAGTGATGTTTGTGTGGTAGTGCCTCACCGTGAGGAGTGATGTTGTGTGGCAGTGCCTCACTGTGAGAGTGATGTTGTGTGGTGCAGTGCCTCACTGTGAGGAGTGATGTTGTGTGGTAGTGCCTCACTGTGAGAGTGATGCTGTGTGGTAGTGCCTCACTGTGAGAGTGATGCTGTGTGGTAGTGCCTCACTGTGAGAGTGATGTTGTGTGGTAGTGCCTCACTGTGAGAGTTATGCTGTGTGGCAGTGCCTCACTGTGAGTGATGTTGTGTGGTAGTGCCCTCACTGTGAGAGTGATGCTGTGTGGTAGTGCCCTCACTGTGAGAGTGATGTTGTGTGGTAGTGCCTCACTGTGAGGAGTGATGTTGTGTGGTAGTGCCTCACTGTGAGAGTGATGCTGTGTGGTGAGTGCCTCACTGTGAGAGTGATGTTGTGTGGTAGTGCCTCACTGTGAGAGTGATGTTGTGTGTGCAGTGCCTCACTGTGAGAGTGATGTTGTGTGGTAGTGCCTCACTGTGAGAGTGATGTTGTGTGGTAGTGCCTCACTGTGAGAGTGATGTTGTGTGGTAGTGCCTCACTGTGAGAGTGATGTGTGGTAAGTGCGCCTCACTGTGAGAGTGATGATGTGTGGTAGTGCCTCACTGTGAGGAGTGATGTTGTATGGCAGTGCCTCACTGTGAGAGTGATGTTGTGTGGTAGTGCCTCACTGTGAGAATGATGTTGTGTGGCAGTGCCTCACCGTGAGAGTGATGTTGTGTGGTAGTGCCTCACTGTGAGAGTGATGCTGTGTGGTAGTGCCTCACTGTGAGAGTGATGTTGTGTGGTAGTGCCTCACTGTGAGTGATGTTGTGTGGTAGTGCCTCACTGTGAGAATGATGATGTGTGTGGTAGTGCCTCACTGTGAGAGTGATGTTGTGTGGTAGTGCCTCCGTGAGAGAGTGTTGTGTGGTAGTGCCCTCACTGTGAGAGTGGTGTTGTGTGTGGTAGTGCCTCACTGTGAGAGTAATGATGTGTGGTAGTGCCTCACTGTGAGAGTGATGTTGTGTGGTAGTGCCTCACCGTGAGAGTCATGTGGTGTGGTAGTGCCCTCACCGTGAGAGTGATGATGTGTGGTAGTGCCTCACCGTGAGGAGAGTGATGTGTGGCAGTGCCTCACTGTGAGAGTGATGTTGTGTGGCAGTGCCTCACTGTGAGAGTGATGTTGTGTGGTAGTGCCTCACTGTGAGAGTGATGCTGTGTGGTAGTGCCTCACCGTGAGAGTGATGTTGTGTGTGGTAGCCCTCACTGTGAGAGAGTGATGTTGTGTGGTAGTGCCTCACTGTGAGAGTGATGCTGTGTGGTAGTGCCTCACTGTGAGAGTGATGATGCTGTGTGGTAGTGCCTCACCGTGAGAGTGATGTTGTGTGGTAGTGCCTCACTGTGAGAGATATGTTGTGTGGTAGTGCCTCACTGTGAGAGTGATGCTGTGTGGTAGTGCCTCACTGTGAGAGTGATGTTGTGTGGTAGTGCCTAACTGTGAGAGTGATGTTGTGTGGTAGTGCCTCACTGTGAGAGTGATGTTGTGTGGTAGTGCCTCACTGTGAGAGTGATGCTGTGTGGTAGTGCCTCACTGTGAGAGTGATGCTGTGTGGTAGTGCCTCACTGTGAGAGTGATGTTGTGTGGTAGTGCCTCACTGTGAGAGTGATGTTGTGTGGTAGTGCCTCACTGTGAGAGTGATGTTGTGTGGTAGTGCCTCACTGTGAGAGTGATGCGTGTGGTAGTGCCTCACTGTGAGAGTGATGCTAATTCAGGATGGACCTCAGTATAAAGAAGAAGAAGATAATTTACTGGGAACACTTAGTCATAAATGTAACCCTTGTTACACAATGTCAACAGGTGAAGTCGACACCAGCCTGTATAGACCTTGTTCGACATCTTGATCCAGGTGCCTCCTGCACTGTCCTCATCAACAAACCTGGAACAGACATCAGTGAGTTGGCAATACCTCAAACACTCTAGCCATTGTAATAACTGATCATGAGTACGATATCATTTTGCTGTGTATGCAGCAGCTGTAGAATGTCCTATGATGGGACATGGGCCTTCTGATCCAAGGTGGACGCCTTGACCACACAGGTGCCCCCAGCAGCAAGCTGACAACATATGGATGTCACCTGTGGGATGAATCCACTCGTGTAGGAAAAATTATATCAATGTTCAATCAATTTTGTTTTATTTTTCCTTAACCTGACTCATGCTCTTTTTGCTTGTCTTCTTCTTCTTGCGAACATAGTGGAACACTTGTATCTCCCTAATTGAAGCTCCTTCAATGTAAAATCACTAATTAGTACTCACCAAGAGTTGCCTCCCTCTTCCATTTCTTGCTGGAAAGGAGGCATGCCCTCTGGCCTCATGCTTCACTCTCTCCTTCTTAGCCCAGTGAGCAGGATGTGAGAGCCTGTGTCTCCCTACACACTATATCCTTTGATTATTCTTAGTTAGTTACCTCTTATAGTTTACTATAGAGGTGTAGCTAGTATCCTTCAACAATTATGTATTGATAATTACTTTCGTATTTCTGCTGTTTATTCACGGGGCCTTGATTGATTGTTCAACAAGTTTACGTTGATGAAAATCTGTACTATTTGTAGATTACATTTTTCTGCTGCTGATCCGCATTTGATATGCCCTAGCTGTACTTCGCACCATGCGTTTTCTTCACATTGCAGTTACTGTATTAATTTGTCTAATTCTGCGTTTAACAAATATTATCTTTGCGTCTTGAGGCGTGCAGCAGATAAGTCACGCAAACAGGGTTTAGCCCCTCGCCAGTCAGCTGCTGTCGGACGACCCTCCCCCGTCTGGTGTTCCGCTGGGGAGTTACCCTCGAGGAGGCGTGGGGACGATGATCCACCGCCTCAAGGCGTCCTGCATCCCCAGACATCCCGGCCGCCGCAGCCAAAGACTAAGAGGGACTTCTATCATCACAACGCAGACTCCGTACCCCAGGGCAGCGTCTACCTCCAGAAGCGGAAATGGACGAAGTCTTCTAGAACCTTCTCAGCTGAGATTGTTCCCCACCTGCGGTTATCCCTAGCAACCGCGAGCCAGGATGTCAGAAATTCACGCGACTAGATTATGAGAGAATACGTTTGACCGACAATCAAAACATAGTGCACATGGGACTACGATGGGATTTCATCGCCAAGAATCAACTCAGTTGCCGGTCAACCAGACAGACTATTTCATGTTCCTGCACTCTCCTCAATTCTCGGATCTCAAGATAACGCTTGACCTATCTCTATGCCCAGTCAGAGCTCTCAAAATCTATCTACAATGATCCAAAACGAGGTGGACGACTAACTCAAGATTATTCATCCCTCTATCGACAGCTTACTCAGACGAAGTCTCTCGTACCACCATATCGATATGGATCAAGAACTGTACTCGCCGCCAGCACCACAATGCTGCAGGACTCGACCCTCCAAGAGCATCTAATCCACATGAAATCAGAGCACTGGCTTCCACACTCGCTCTACACGGTAGCCATTCTCTTCCCACAGAGGTTACTCCTGTCATATCTTCCCTCGTAACCTCTGTTCTAATCACGGCCCTTTCATGGTGTGAGCGTTCAAGACTTCGTGATTGGAGACAATCAGATTTAGTTATTGCAATCAGCGGCGTTGTTTCAAAGTGATCATTCGCAAGGCCTCGGTAATTTCCGTATGCTTGAAAACTAAACTTCTTCCCCTGCGCGTGCGCCATAAGCGTTTCTTCTAGACAGAACTCAGTCATGTTATGGCGGATCAGTAAAGCGTCTCCATAAGCCCTCGTTGACAGCGGACAAGCTAGCCATTAAGCGTCTTGTGTGTAACATCAACACAAGTCCCGGCAGATGGGGATATTTGTGGCCCCACATTTGCTTGTGTTAGTCAAGTTGAATCTAAAAATTCGATGTAACAGGTGTTCTGATTGGATAGAAAGAAGGGAGATAATTAGGTGTTGCGATCTTTTGCCGCTAGGGATTTTCACGAGAACCGGGAAATATGGCGATATTAGAACAGAGAGTTTACGTGGGAAGATATGACAGGAGTAACCTCTGTGGGAAAAGAATATGAGTCAGGATAAGTATAAAATATCAATTTTATTCAGAAAATTACATTATTCTATTCACAGCATTGAGGTAGTTCAATAAATTACGTGGGATTATTGGATATTGTTAAGCAGAATACAAATAAATTAAAGGGGAAAATCCCCTTTTATCTGAAATGAATCAAAATGAAATTTTATATAATTAGTTGATATGAATTTTTGAAAATGTACACTCATTTTTCTGACACAGGACAGTTGTTAAAAGTGCTGAAATGCCATTCGCGACCATTGTTTTCTGAGCTAAACAGGCAAGAGTTATTCCCCAATATAGAACAGTCATCAGCAGGACAGATTGATTGTGCATCATTTAATTCATGGTCCTTCTCCACCAGGGAAAAAACTCTAAATAACACCATGAGTGGTGACTTAGTAATGTGTCAAAAATGACTAGATTTACGATGTACGTCATTTTCAGTATCGTTGGATTACATATATTTGGATGACAGCAGTGTTTACAACGGTAGACTGCCACACATCAAGATGTAAGAACACTGCATGTTGAGTTTGGTCATTTATCACTTTCCACCAGTCACTTTATTTTTCAAGGGAAATAGGAGATGGTGTTTATTATGGAAATATAACTATCGGTAAATGTGAAAAATATGAATCAATATATCTGAAAAAAAATGTGTGTGGTAGCAACTACTTCCACCTTGGTATGACCTAACACAGTGTGAGTGCTGTGTTGGTCTGGAGTTGTCGCTGCCTCTACAACCATGCCTCACTCTAAACCTGCTTGCGTTAACCTCCTGTTTCAGCATCAATGAGCAAGGTAGAAATTGCCTGGTTTGCTCTCGACTCGGGGAAGGTGTACACAGAAAAGGAGATAAATGACATCTACTCTGTCCTCACGGCCGAGAGTTACCACACCCATATGTAAGTACTTCTACCTCTCATTACCCTCCACCATATGTAACTTCTATGCAACTTTCTCATTAACTTCTATCTTCCTCCACCATATGTAACTTCTCTCTCTCATGTAACTTCTATCTTCAGTCCCTCTCCACCATCTCAGTCCCTCCCCCATGTGTAACTTCTATCTCTCATTCCCCTCCACCATATGTAACTTCTATTTCTCATTACCCTCCACCTCTCATTACCTCTCCACCCATCCCATGTAACTTCTCTCTCTCATTCCCTCCCCCATATGCAACTTCTATCTCTCAGTCCCCTCCCCATATGCAGCTTGTATCTTTCAGACCCCACTGTCAAGTTTGTGTTGAAGTTGTCTCTCAGTTGCTTCAATAACATGATATAGTTGTATCGATACTTGTGTACTTTCACAACTGACTGAATTACAGGCTGAAGGTCAAGATCACAGAAACCCAAGTGTCAGATGTTACAAGGTTAAAGAGGAAAGCCGAGGGGGACCCGGACATTCAGGTAGAGAACCACATGGAGACAGGCACACACCTGTACAGAACCACATGGAGACAGGCACACACCTGTACAGAACCACATGGAGACAGGCACACACCTGTACAGAACCACATGGAGACAGGCACACACCTGTACAGAACCACATGGAGACAGGCACACATGGGACATGGAGACAGGCACACCTGTACAGAACCACATGGAGACAGGCACACACTTGTACAGAACCACATGGAGACAGGCACACACCTGTACAGAACCACATGGAGACAGGCACACACTTGTACAGAACCACATGGAGACAGGCACACACTTGTACAGAACCACATGGAGACAGGCACACACTTGTACAGAACCACATGGAGACAGGCACACACCTTGTACAGAACCACATGGAGACAGGCACACACCTGCAGAACCACAGAACCACTTGTAGACAGGCACACACACTTGTACAGAACCACATGGAGATGTGTTTGGAGTGAGATAACATGCCAATTTCTTCAGCTACTGTATTCTTATATATCATTGCAACTGTGAAAGGTATACACTTAATTGGCTTCTGTATTCTTCTACACAGGACCAGTATGAGCTTCAAGTGAGAAGGAATGGGAGTCTAGTGGACTCCTACTACCTGGCTGCTGGAAGATACACCTGTGTGCTGCCCAGAGAAGGCCAAGCTGGGTTGCAGAACATCCTTCTCAGATACCCCAGATTCCCAGTAAGTAACATTAAGGGGAGCCAGTGTAGGTTTAGGGAGCCTATATGGGATTAAGGGGAGCCAATGTAGGTTTAGGGAGCCTGTATGGGATTAAGGGGAGCCAATGTAGATTCAGTTTAGGGGAGCCTATATGGGATTAAGGGGGAGCCAGTGTAGGTTTAGGGAGCCTATATGGGATTAAAAGGGGAGCCAATGTAAGGCATTTAGGGAGCCTATATGGGATTAAGGGGGAGCCAGTGTAGGTTTAGGGAGCCTATATGGGATTAAGGGGGAGCCAGTGTAGGTTTAGGGAGCCTATATGGGATTAAGGGGGAGCCAGTGTAGGTTTAGGGAGCCTATATGGGATTAAGGGGGAGCCAGTGTAGGTTTAGGGAGCCAATATGGGATTAAGGGGGAGCCAGTGTAGGTTTAGGGAGCCTATATGGATTAAGGGGGAGCCAATGGTAGGAGTTTAGGGAGCCTATATGGGATTAAGGGCAGTTAATGCAGGTTTAGGGAGCCAATATGGGATTAAGGGGAGCCAGTGTAGGTTTAGGGAGCCAATATGGGATTGGGATTGGGATTAAGGGGGAGTCAACTATATGTATTAAGGGAGCCAGTGTAGGTTTAAGGAGCCTATATGGGATTAAGGGAGCCAGTGTAGGTTTAGGAGCCTATATGGGATTAAGGGGAGCCAGTGTAGGTTTACGGAGCCTATATGGGATTAAGGGAGCCAGTGTAGGTTTAGGGAGCCTATATGGGATTAGGGGAGTGTAAGTTTAGGGGAGCCTATATGGGATTAAGGGGAGCCAGTGTAGGTTTAGGGAGCCTATATGGGATTAAGGGGGAGCCAGTGTAAGTTTAGGGAGCCTATATGGGATTAAGGGGGAGCCAGTGTAAGTTTAGGGAGCCTATATGGGATTAAGAGCGGAGCCAGTGTAGGTTTAGGGAGCCAATATGGGATTAAGAGAAGTTAATGCACCATTAGGGGAGCCATGGGTAAAGGTAGAGCCAGGAGCCAATATGGGATTAAGGGGGAGCCAAGTATTCGCTGCTGTTTCCCTTGGCTGAAGGTCAACTGAATCCAAGAAACCTAACTGAAGAAGTTACTTAGTCTTCCCACATTGAGTTGAGAAAATGATGTAGTATTGATGGTTCGTGGACTGCAATGAGCATTAAACTCTTCAGATGATCATAAATGTCACCTTACTTGACCACATTGTCACTTTCTTTTTATTGCAGACGTTTGATCTGCCAAATATTTTCCAGAGAGGAATGCGGCTCATCGCTCAGCCCACAGAGTAAGTTGCTGCTGTCACTACCTTCCATGGTTGAATAATGATTGTTAAACAATGGAAGTCTTCAAAATTGATTCAACAAATATTAAAGTTTATTTCTGTTTACTGATTGAAATTCAGCAAACTCTATATTTCAGAAATTAGTTTAATGGCACTATCTACAACAATATGTCCTTTCTTGACAGGTTTAAGTCCTTATTTGACTATATCAAAGCTCTTTATTTGGGTTCATTACAGTCTGTATGTGATTTTACGCAAGTTTAAAGGTCACATGCAACCCAAAAATCAAACATAATTAAAACACAATTATCACTTCTTCATGACATATAATATGCATTGCTGATTATGAAAAAACATATAAACAAAATTATAAGCTATGTCGAAACGGCAAATCAAAGTGCACTCAATACTTTTGTTGGCCACCTCATTGTGTGCCTGGAAGCGAAGCATCATAAATACGTCATGTGGGATCACACCTGCACGAACCCAGTCAGCGTTTTGAAGCCTGCCTCAATCGTGGTAACATTGAATACTGGTTCATGTTAGCAGATGCAGGCCTTCCTGCGACAACGACTCATTGTTTGAGTCAACGCTTATATATAGAGATGTTGGGTCTTAAGAAGTAAATACATGCTAAACATTTTTATGTATAACATTTTGCAGGAGATATCAACAGACATCATAACAATGTCAGTGTTCAGTGCTTTAACCTATTTACTTGGCGACGCATCTGCACATGTCTGTTGTAATTACATCATGACTTTGACCCGATTGCCGTTCATGCCATATTTTTCAACCATATAAGCTGAATTTGAATTCATTTGTTTCGCATGTCCATACGCTGTACCAAAGTTGCGGGCTACGTGACCTTTAAATTACTATGGGGCCAGGTAAGTTTTGCAACTTTATGCATAAAGAACAATTGTATAGTTGTCAGATTCACTGCCGTGCCTTTGTGCCGCAAGGCAGTTTCAAGGCCTCACAAGGTGTTTTGGGATCAATGACCTGGTTTGTGCAATTCTGCAGTCATGACGATATCAAGTATGTCACGCTCTGTACTCGAAAAGTATGGCAGATTCTGTGAGAAACACACTACATTGTTTCTGTGAAAATAACAATCACGATTACCTCCTTCAATAATTCTTCTTTGGAATATCCATGTGAAGTTTAAGAATGTCTGTTTAATGTCTGTAATCCTCATCTCTATTCCATCTTTGTTTCCCTGTCCCATAATGACATCTTTCTTGTTCGAATCACCTCTGTCTCTAATAGACATTGAATTTCTGTCCTATCACCTTTCGCCTGTGAGATATCAACCATTATGAGAAAATCTCTGTCACCATCACCCGACTTCTCTGTTCCAACCTTGCTCTGCTATGAGCCAGCCCAGCTGTTCCCGTTGTCCCATCCTTCTCTCTTCGATTTCGGTTTTCATCAGCGTTATTTTTCAAACTTCTATAGTTTGAAGTCCCATGGGACCGTTTGTTCTGTTCCATCGAAAGGTATCAGAATCTGCTGTTTCCATCCCTGTGACTCTGATCTGGGCCATCCTAATGACAAGTATTCTTCTGTCCAAAGCATAAAGGAACAATTTATCTGTTGAGGTGACAGAGTTCATCTGCAAGCCTTGTCGTGCTCCAGTTTTTCGTTCACACAATTATCCCAGTGTTTTGGGATTCCCATGAACCTTCTAGCCTTTCTCCACTATGATAACTCAATGTCCATCCTTAATTCAATCTTCATGACAATGCAGTATTCAAGCTACTAAACATTCTTATTTCAGGCGTTCTGTACCTGAAAGAAAATCAAAATGGCACTTCAAAGTATATTCTGAAGAGAAACACTACTCTGGTCTCTTGAAAAAATAGCAATCAATGACACATACTACTAATTCAAGATATCTATTCCAGACCATTGCAGACATATTTCAGTGGCTGTCACTCTGGTTCCAGAATGTCAGTTTAATGTCTTAATCCTTCTCTGTTCCATCTTTGTCTCTGTCCCATCCCTTCTCTGATCATCATCTCTGTACATCCTTCTCTATCCATCTCTGTCCCATCCCATTCCTCTGTTCCATCACCTTCCTCCATCACCTTCTTGTCCCATCCCTTTCTCTGTTCCATCACCATCACCTCTCTGTTCCATCACTTTCTCTGTCCATCCCTTCTCTGTCCATCCCCTTCTCTGTTCCATCACCTTCTCTGTTCCATCACCTTCTCTGTTCCATCTCTTTCGACCGCCTCCGTGGTGTCTGGTTAGAAGCCATCCGAGGAGAGCTTCTCTGTTCAATCCTCACAGCTTCTCTGTTTCCATATGGTACTTGTTTCTCTGTTCCATAAGCCTTCGAGGACTGTTCCATATAATGTCTCTGAGTCCATCCCCTTCTCTGTTCCATGGTTTCTCAGTGCTTCCATAAAACCCTAAGTCTGGGCTTGTTATAAGCCAGCCTACCTCATGCACATGTTCCTATCAAAATATTCTCAATCCATGACCTTCTTGTTCCATCACCCTGTTCCATATCCCTTCCTTTCTCTGTTCCATCACCTTCTCTGTTCCATCCTCTCCTCTGTTCCATACCCTTCTCTGTTCCTTCTGTTCCATCACCTTCTCTGTTCCATCACCTCTCTCTGTTTCATACCCTTCTCTGTTCCATACCCTTCTCTGTTCCATCACTTTCTCTGTTTCATCACTTTGTTTCTCTTTGTTCCATCACCTTCTCTGTTCCCCATTCTCTGTTCCATAATTCCTTCTCTGTTCCATACCCTTCTCTCTGTTCCATCCCCTTCTCTGTTCCATCACCTTCTCTGTTCCATCACCTTCTCTGTTCCATACCCTTCTCTGTTCCATCACCTTCTCTGTTTCCATCCCTTCTCTGTTCCATCACCTTCTCTGTTCCATCACCTTCTCTGTTCCATACCCCTTCTCTGTTCCATACCCTTCTCTGTTCCATCACCTTCTCTGTTCCATCACCTTCTCTGTTCCATCCCCTTCTCTGTTCCATACCCTTCTCTGTTCCATCACCTTCTCTGTTCCATCACCTTCTCTGTTCCATCACCTTCTCTGTTTCATACCCTTCTCTGTTCCATCACCTTTCTCTGTTCCATCACTTTCTCTGTTCCATCACCTTCTCTGTTCCATACCCTTCTCTGTTCCATACCCTTCTCTGTTCCATCACCTTCTCTGTTCCATACCCTTCTCTGTTCCATACCCTTCTCTGTTCCCATCACCCTTCTCTTCTCTGTTCCATCACCTTCTCTGTTCCATACCCTTCTCTGTTCCATACCCTTCTCTGTTCCATACCCTTCTCTGTTCCATCACCTGTTCTCATCTGTTCCTTACCCCTTCTCTGTTCCATACCCTTCTCTGTTCCATCACTTCTCTGTTCCATCACCTTCTCTGTTCCATACCCTTCTCTTGTTCCATCACCTTCTCTGTTCCATAACCTTCTCTGTTCCATACCCTTCTCTGTTCCATACCCTTCTTTGTTCCATAACCTTCTCTGTTCCATACCCTTCTCTGTTCCATACCCTTCTCTGTTCCATCACCTTCTCTGTTCCATACCCTTCTCTGTTCCATACCCTTCTCTGTTCCATCCCTTCTCTGTTCCATACCCTTCTCTGCACCTTCTCTCTATTCCCATACCCTTCTCTGTTCACCTTCCCTGTCCCACCCTTCTCTGTTCCATACCCTTCTCTGTTCCATACCCTTCTCTGTTCCATCACCCTTTCTGTTCCATCACCTTCTCTGTTCCATCACCCTTCTCTGTTCCATACCCTTCTGTTCTGTTTCTTCTGTTCCATCACCTTCTCTGTTTCCTTCTGTTCCATCCACCTTCTCTGTTCCATACCCTTCTCATACCCTTCTCTGTTCCATCACCTTCTCTGTTCCATCACCCTTCTCTGTTCCATACCCTTATTTGTTCCATCACTTTCTCTGTTCCTTCTTCTGTTCCATATCCTTCTCTGTTCCATACCCTTCTTTGTTTCTTAACCTTCTGTTCCATACCCTTCTCTGTTCCATACCCTTCTCTGTTCCATCACCTTCCTGTTCCATACCCCTTCTCTGTTCCATCACCTTCTCTGTTCCATCACCTCTCTGTTCCATACCTTCTCTGTTCCATCCCTTCTCTGTTCCATCACCTTCTCTGTTCCATACCCTTCCTTCCTCTGTTCCATCCACCCTTCTCTGTTCCATCACCTTCTCTGTTCCATACCCTTCTCTGTTCCATACCCTTCTCTGTTCCATACCCTTCTCTGTTCCATAACCTTCTCTGTTCCATACCCTTCTCTGTTCCATCACCTTCTCTGTTCCATCACCTTCTCTGTTCCATACCCTTCTTTGTTCCATCACCTTCTCTGTTCCATCACCTTCTCTGTTCCATACCCTTCTTTGTTCCATACCCTTCTCTGTTCCATACCCTTCTCTGTTCCATCACCTGCTCTGTTCCATACCCTTCTCTGTTCCATACCCTTCTCTGTTCCATCACCTTCTCTGTCCCATCACCTTCTCTGTCCCATACCCTTCTCTGTTCCATCCTCTCCTCTGTTTCATCACCTTCTCTGTTCCAGATCAGCCCTCTATTAGCCAACAATGACTTCACCTTCTCTGTGTCCAGTTTAGCAACAACTTGCTCCAGTTCATTTGTAGCTCTCTTGTTGGCATTCATGGATCTCCTCATGACCAGCCATTGACAACACAGCAAGCATTTGATTTGTATTAATAACATGATTGCCATCCTCATGATGTTCTTGACTTTCAAATTCGTTACCCAGTGTTTTCTAGGCACAGTAATTGGGAACTTTGTTTGTAACAGCAAATAATCTGCATGTTTGAATCTGCCATCAGACCTAAGGAGACCATCACCATACAGAACAGGATGAAGATTAATGAGTTTGTTACCTTTAGAAATGGGATTTTCATTTGCTATTGCCAAGTAATCTTCAGAGAATGCATCTTTTTGTGCATTACAAATGATGTGCTTTTTGGATCAGCCATTTCTGCTG